AGTCTTCGTATTTGTTGCGGAAGTCGGGATCGCTCTTCGCCTCCAGACTGCGGACAAACGTGTCTTTCGCGCCGCGAGTTTTCGACTTCTGGTCCACACTTTTGGCCAAAGCCTCGGCGATAGAGTCAGCGGTCACGCCATCGATGACGCTCTCCTCGATCCTGACATTCAAGACACAAATCAAACCACAATTATATGGCAAATGTCTTGAGCGACCAAATGGGGTGATAATTACTCCAATAGTTTCATCAATTGGTTGACATCGTTATGAATGTTGAACTCATTGGCAGACATTATGGCCACAGTGTATGTGTCCTCTAAGTAGTGATCAATTGATGGTTAAGATAACAGTTGCGGTCATTATTTGTCTGAAGACATCAAAAGAGTTAGATTTTGAGCGCTTTTATTGACATTTTGTTCAAAACAATAATAAACAGCATTTGGTTTAATGTAATGTAGACTTCACTGCATTTCATTGGCTATAATATGCCATCGATTGTCAATACAATCGCCCATTAAATACATTTTCAGTCTATTATTTGATGCCTTAATTTGGATAATAATTTATAAATTGGTACTAATTTTGTATTATTTATTGGCATGCATTACATGTCATGATAATTGACATGAAAAGTGCATTACATTTGTGCACATTTACAGCATATCATCAATTTTGTTAGTGTTATCCATGCATACAATAAACTTATGGTTTGATAGTGTATTGAATGCACATTAGGAACATCTCTGGATATTCTTCCTCAGACCATATAATGATGACTCAATTCATTAGACAATATAGCAGTTGAGGTCTTCGTTGATATTTGAAGCCATTATTAAATAGACTAAACAATTGAGACAATACTTTATCGTATTTCTATTGAATTACATGTAATTTAAAACTTTTCAAAAAGTTTTGAAAGTTTTTAAAAAAGTTGTGCCAACACTTTGGAACTGATTATTTTTATCTAAATATCCATTATTGAGTGATTTATTATCTAATTGAATATATAAATAGTGATTTATATAGATTTAAATGTTTAGCATATGCTTTAATATCTAATTATGCAATGTTTGTAATAAATTATCAATATTTGGGTGAAATATATTTGATTCAAAAATTGAATTAAAAAAATAAAAGTTGTGTAAAAGTGCAAAATTTCATTCAAAACCTCTTATAACAGGTTTGAATGACTATAATATAAATGCAAATACACTTGTAAAATGACCTAATATGGGATGTGTTCACAGATATCATAGGATTGCATGTGATTTAATATTCAGTAAAATTTATTGATAATACTGTGTGTTTTGAACTCAATTTCAGGGCTATATCTCAACCATATATCCTTTCTCTTCGCTATAATAATAAACACTTAAACAAATGTTTTCAATAATTAAAACTTTTAATTTAAAAGCACCTGAAAATCAGAAAAATGAATATATTTTTGTATAAAATTGGTATCAAAATCATTATATTTTTAGTACCACTTGTAAAATATTTTATGAAATAATTAAAGATTTTAATAATTGGAGAA